CGGGGTTCGGCGGAGGGGGGGGAGAGAAGGGGGGGCTTCGTCTGCTGTGGCTTAGGGTGGGTGCAGCCCCTTTGGGGGGGACAGGGATGCGCCTCTTACCGGCTCCCACCGCCTGTCCCGGCGTGGAAGAGCCGCTCCTCCCCGACTCTGATCGGCGCACCGTTCCTCGGGGATAAAAACGTATATTTCTTTTCCTTACATTTATTTTTGGCGTCGTTAAGACAAAGGGCAGCCCTGCCAGCCTCCTGGGAGAGGGGGGGACCTTTCTCCCGAAAGAGGGAGAAGGGCTGTCGAGGGGAGTTGCAGGAAATGGGGAAAGGCTGGTGGAGCTCTTCCTTCTGCGGGAGGTACGTGTTGGGTTATTGAGGGGAGGGTTTGGCCAGCCCCAGAGCATCTCTGCCTGCTTAGGAGGCCGGTTAGGACAAGATGAATAGATATTTCCTTAAGTTTTCTTCAAATTATCCTAAGATTCCCATCTTAAGGTAATTTGCTGCTCGAACAGTGTTGACAAATGAATTGGAAATGCTTATTTGAAAGGGCTGCTATCAAAAAAACATGTTACTCTTCTGTGGGGCAAGGGTTTCACACAGCCAGATTTGGAGGGGGGAGGTATCTGGATTAGAATATTTTACAGATGAGATTTCTTCCCTTGAAATTCCTGAACATGTGTGAATTTTAACTTAATTTTATCTTTCCCTCCCAAATGAAAACTGTAATGAAGCATTCTTCCTGTAATTGCTACAAAATGCACTAATTTAATCTTAGAAGTTAAAAGAATCTGCCTGCCTGGGTTTTTTTCTGTATCTCGAGCAGCAGAGAATCACAGGTCTGATCCCTGAGTAATTTCTTGCCTGAAAAAAATGTGGCTTCTGTCATCTGTAACGTTGGAGAGACGTAGTGGGGCACGAGCTGATCTAGGCATCGCGGTATTCGGGATCTTTGCTTCAAGTTTCGCCCATTACTTAGAAGTTTTGTTAATTAAACGCAGCCTTATTGTGAAATATTCACAGTAGCTGTCTTCTGGTGGGAGCTGAAGTTCGCCATGTTGCTAAAGAGCCACAGGCAGGACGCTGAATTACTTCCTATCCTGTATTGTCACGTACTTATATTGGCGTTACGGCAACGATAGCGTTGAGAGTCGGGGGGGATTCGTGCTGCAGAGAGCAATAAAAAGTCAGTGTGGGGTATGGAGGTCAGGCAGGCTTTGTTTTTCACTTTATGGATGCTGTTCCAACGAGTAAGGCTTTCATTACATGTTGGTCTTGATATTTTACTGAGAAAGGAAAGTCGGGGGGGATTCGTGCTGCAGAGAGCAATAAAAAGTCAGTGTGGGGTATGGAGGTCAGGCAGGCTTTGTTTTTCACTTTATGGATGCTGTTCCAACGAGTAAGGCTTTCATTACATGTTGGTCTTGATATTTTAATGAGAAAGGAAGAGGGTTTTGTGTTGGTGGTTTTTTTTTTTCCCCTCAGCATTTTGCTCTTTTTGAAGAAAAGCTAGGATGAATTCTTTGTCCTATTTTGGCTTCTTTATTTCAGGTTAAGGGGTGAAAGCAGCAGAAAGGGGCAGTGGAAGGAAGCTTTGATCCACCTGTGGGATGAGTTGAGTGGCAGAGCAGCAGATGAGGGGCCTGGGTTTGACAGTGGGGGTGGGAAGTAGGGCAAGCTCCTTCCTCTCTTCCCCATCCCTTCCCCGTCGGAAAATCTTGCGCTGACTCTTAGGAAGGGAATGCACAGGAACTCATCCTTCAGTCAGCAAAGCTCCTAAAACGTTGTGTTCAAAAAAAAAAAAAAATTCAGCCAGGCTTTAATGCTAGGCATAATAAAGCTCAAAAAATAAAGAATATAAATATGCAACGCTTTGAATTTGACAGGAAAGCGCTTCAGGCGAGAGCTCTGAGCTTTAGTAAGTAAATGAGTCCAGAAAGTGAAACTAAATTACCCAAAAATGCTGTTTCACTTTTGTAGAAGCTTACCATTTAAAAAAAAAATAATATTTTTGAATATATATTAAACTGGTTTAAGATTTGGGATTAATAACCTGTGTTGGGGTTTCGTTTTACTTTGAAGCACGCTCACACGATTGCTTTGAGTCCTAATATCCCAACGCGTTAGAAGATTGTTCTTGCCATAAATCAGAAAGAAAACATCTCAAACTTGAGATGAGCTCAGGCTTTGTGAATATTACCCTCTCAGGCATTAAGCTGCTTAGTTGGTCTTTGTGGTGGAGTGAATGCTGATACATCGATATTTTTTTCCAAATACGACTATTTTCATGTCTATTGAGAAGAAAAGATTTTTTTGACTGAAAAGCTCGTTTGGTAGTTGAAAGAGAATGGGGGTTTTTTTTGTTTATTCAGCCATTATAATGCTTGAATAAAATGTAAGTGAGAACGAGATCTTCTGATTCCAAAAACTTGAGTTTTGGGGTCAGACTTTTGTGTTGAACTTAATACCTCCTGTAATTCCCAGAAGTGCTGAGTTCCTGCTGGTTCTTTGTTTTGTGCCGTGATAGGATGCACCGGTCAGGTTGCTACAGGCACTTGCAGGACACTGAAGAGGCAAAACTAATGGGAAATTATGAGCATTTGTGGTGTTTTGGGGTTGTTTTTAGTGTTTGTTTTTTTACTAACTCTGAAGAATAAGAGAAGTATCAAGGCTCCTGCGTGGGAAGGAGGGTGGTCATGTTTGGTGGGAGGTGGGATGGGAGAGAAAAAGACATAGTATCCCTGATTTTGATTGCTATAGCTTGATTTAAATTCCGAGCTGATTTTAATTATGGGTCGAGAGGGGATGGACAACAGCTCCTGGCTGCCCAAAAAGGGAGATTCTGCTCCTCCTGCTTTGGCCTAGATGCTCCTTGAGGTGCTGCTGTGGGTTGTTGCACCTCTTGAGCTGGGAAAGGAGTGAAAAGCTCCCTGCAGGGTAACCAGTCCTATCAGTTAATGGCAAGATCCAGCAGAGACTGGAGCTGGTGTAAGGGGATAGCGTGGGGCAGCAGAACCCAGATCAGCAGGAAGATGATACATTCCTCCTTCCAAAAATGTCATGGTTGTGGTTGACTCAGCTTCTCCTCAACCATTTGCCTTGCCCAGTGCAGCTCTGACCACTCAGTATTACTGAAAAATACCCTCTTCTTCCTCCCAGCTCCTGAGCAGGCAGTCGAGTGTCTTCGTGCCAGCTCCTGCGGGGTTAAAAATTGGAATTAGCATCATAAGGTGTCAGGCAAGTTTGGGAAGAAGCAGGAGAAAGGGTGTCTTGGAGAGCACCACTTCTGCTGTTAGTGGACACTTCCACTGACTCGCCCTGATTTCTTTGGGTGCGCTTTAACGGTGTTTGCATTTCTGAAAGTTTAGTTGCTTTTGGCCAGAAAATCAGTTTTATTAACATTGTGTGGCGGTGCTTCAATAAGTCATCTTTAAATTTGTAGTATCTGTTAAATTTCTCCTTTTTTTTCTGAATGTTACGCTTCTTTCAGTTGAAGAGTTTTAAACTTTGTGAATGTATTTGAATTCTAATTTCTGTTTGCTGCTTGAAACGACTTGAGGACATAACGTTTAAGAAATGCATGATGTAATAACCATTCCTAATAACCTTTTTTATTTTTTTACATTCTTAATCTTTGTATTTTTTATTAAGCTATGCTATTACCGTAAAACAATATGCATAAACGTGTAATAGCCTCCCCTGCAGGAAGCA